TGGTGTCCGTAGGCTTGCCCTCACTGTCAGAGATATATGGGCTCAGAACAGTCTCATAATACACACATGCACACAGAAGGATTCACACTTGTATTTCATGATCCGCAAAAGGATTCAAACTTGTATTTCCGGATCCACACTTGTGTTTTTCAATGCATACACAAATGTGTTCCGTTTCATATACATGTAAATACAATCCAAACACAGAAAAAAGTTTTACATGTGTATTTTTGATCCACACATATTAGTTTTCCGTTTAAAACCGCTGCACCTTCAAACACAAACAGCTTTCTGTGCACGGATCGCTTTGCATTCGTGTGTGGGTTTTTTGAGACTCCCCTGACTCTCACCCGATTCGTACTTGTAATTTCTCTCATCTATAGCCAATCAGATGTCTCCTCCAGTCTAAGCCAATCACATGAGCGCGCCCCCACGTGGGTAGGATTTCTTGCGTTCGTGACGTAGCGCTTTATTTACGCTTTTTGCGCAGTCCGGACTCCGGAGCTGACAGGTCAACTTCAACATGGCGTCTAGCACAAGTGTAAGTTATACGTGTCTCGGCGTGAATGATTAAATATGTTTTAGGTATGAATTATTGTTATGTTAGTGATGTGTTAGCATGGAAGTAATATGGGTGGCATGTAATGCTAGCGTTTGCTGGCAAGTTAGCTATATTATGCTAATAGACTACCTAGGATTATAACCTTACATAGCTAACATTAGCCAAACATTTCTTTAACTTCTTTCATTCTGTTGCTTTGTTTTTTAGGGACAATTTAGACAGAATTAATCCAAAATGTGCTGCTCAAATTATTATTAAAAAATATATTCCATTGTGTTTAATGATGGGGTGGAATTGAACATTAAGAGATGATGTTAAATAGGATTAACCAGTGTTGGTAAACAAACGGTCGAACGTTGAGCACTGTTGGTCATATTTTATCTATCTTTTCTATTATTTTCCCCCCAGGAATCAGTAAAGCGTGAAATCCTTCAGAGACTTCAAGATCGACTGACATACATCTTGGATAGGACACCTGTTGATCTCGAAGGGCTACAGTTTGCGTGCCGTCAGGCTTTTGTTATATTGAGTGCACTGGGTGACATTGTTGATTTAGGGAATAATATACAGTCTGCACTTGCAGACCTGAATAGCCTTATCCAACAAGAGAGAGATAATCAACAGATATTTGTGACCCTTGAGTTGCAAAAATGTTGTGGACGTGGGCGTCCACGATTGAATGTGTCAGTAGAGGCTCTGACACATCTGGTTGAACTGGGACTGCCATCGAGTTGCATCGCCAGACTCCTGGGTGTGTCTAGAGCAACGCTATTTAGGCGGATGACCGAAAATGACATTTCTATATCTGCTTCATATAGTGGCTGCACTGATGACGAATTGGATTCATTGATCACCACAATAAAAAGTGCAATGCCAGATGCTGGCTACCGTGTAGTCCGAGGTGCTCTACTTGCGAAGGGACACAGAGTGCAATGGGAACGGGTGTATGCATCCATGCATCGTGTGGACAGTGTTGGTGTGCTCGCCAGGATGACCCGGATGGGATGTGTGGTGAGGAGAACATACACAGTTCCTTACCCTAAGTACATGGTGCACATTGACACCAACCACAAGCTCATCAGGTTTGTCTGCATGCTGTCTGTATGTAATCTGTTCATTTTATTATTTTTAATGTCTAGTTGTATATATCTTGTGTATGTAATCATATCATTGTCTATCATTGACAGGTACAACTTTGTTATCTTTGGGGGAATAGATGGCTATTCAAGGAAGGTAAGACTATTCTATTGTCAAGAACCAACAACTGCAAAATGTTGCCGAACATCATGTGATGGTTTTACTTTTCTAAGCTTCAGTTTATTTTCTGTACCAACAGGTGGTGATCTTTAGGTACACAATCGAACCTATAGTTAATTACATATCGCCTCTTACCAAACAGACGATATGGACTTCTAAAGTCACCTTATATTTTAAGTGATTCAGATCAAACAATATGCATTTACTTATTTACTTAATTTCAAAATAAATACTTTGAAGAACTTGTGAAATAATTAAAACACTTATACTAGTAACCGCACAATATATGTCAAGAAGCTTGCCTGAGCTATCATGATATTCTGTTATACATTGAATAATTCTGTTGTGCGTTGTTCTCTTAATGCTGCACATTGTCATTTGACAGATGCTTCAAGTTAAACTGATTCATCAAGGTACTAATATGTTGTTTTATGTGTACTTGTATGTGTAGATTATGTACTTGAAGATAGCAGACAACAACCGGGCTGACACCCACTTGTGTTTCTTCAATGAAGCTGTGAACGAGCACGGGTTTCCTCTGAGGTATTCACATTATTTCATATGTAATCATTAGTGTAATTGCGGACCTTTCCATCAAATTTAGATGTTCCCCTCCAATGGCTGCATCAGTGACGACCACTTTACTTTTGATGGGACTCATTCATTGCAAATATTGTCGTGCTTTACTGTTAGTTCAAAGAGGCAATCTGAACATATAAGTTAAAACAATTGCCATTATAAACGGTACTTTTCTAGGTCACAAAAGTGCTGTCGGACACAGCCATATCAATTGTTAATTCTATGTGAGCCCCTCACATATGACAATATATAAGCGACATGTCAGATTTTTCTATCCCTCAGCTGAGATTCATGTACTGTACAGAAATATGAAAATATAATCTATTCACAAGCTGATGTGAACCATCCCTCATTCAGGTGTGGAAGATAACTCGAGGTTTAATAAAGTGAAAGAGAACTCTTAAGGGTTACAGTTAAGGACCTGTCCAGATATCTCAAATATGTATGTCCAGAGAGAGCCATTTGTGATCACATTATGGATGTAGATCATTATGGAATTGTACCCCTCGTTTTTTGGACCTTCAAATACGTAGATTTTAACTATGCATAATTATTTGATTTATTTTCCAGAGTGAGAGGAGATCATGGTGGAGAAAATGTGGGAGTAGCACAATTAATGTTCTCAGTTCGTGGAACTGACAGTAACAGCTTCATTGCAGGGAAAAGCGTACACAATCAACGGTGAGTTAAACCTAATTTTGTAAGCTTATGAGCATATTTCTTCTTCTTAATATTCCCTTTAACAAACCTTCATAAGCACATGTTGAGACCATTCCTTCACAAAGAAGAAAATGACAATTTTCACAGAAATTTACCAGCCACGCAAACATTTGAAAACTCACTTAATGTTACGTTTGTACTCTCCTGTCAAGTCAGTTGATTTTTTTTAAATAAATGCAATTTTCAGTTAGAGACATTGCCATTGACTCAATGACTAGGAAACTTTAAATTGTTCATAGTGAACAGTTTGAATTTTCTTTTAAGTTTAACATTTTTTTGTGTTTTCTTCTCACAGAATTGAACGCCTCTGGCGTGATGTGTTCATGAGTGTTACGGGTGTCTTTTACAACACCCTGCACTCTCTTGAGGAACAACACCTGCTTGACATCAGTAACGTCCTGCACATCTTCTGCTGCCACTACGTTTTCTTGCCACGCATCCAAGCCAACCTGGATGTGTTCAGTGAGGCCTGGGCCAACCATCCCATCAGGACAGAGCAACATCTGACACCCAATCAGTTGTGGCAGGTGGGCCAGCACCTGAATCCTGTTGCAGATCCTGAGCCTGAGGTAAATTATGAATTTTCAAAACCATCACTATCTCTTGTTTATTATCAATCAATAAAAACCCAAACAGTATAATAAGTTATCTGATTCATAAACTAACTCCCGTTCTTGGATTAAAAGAACCTCTGCTGGGAGCAAGCAAGAACACTTTTCTATAATATTACACTATTACCTTAACATTATTCCACAATCACTCCATTTTTTATTATTATAGAACAATTGCATACCCTCTTTATTTCGCCTGATCACATATTTTGTAATAAGAAGCAGTAATGGCACAGTGCTTGCTTTAATATTTGTACACTCACTTTGTCTTTTTTAGGGTTCACTCATACCAGAGATTCAATGGGAAGAGAGTGGATACACAAATGAGCATCATACCGGGGTCAATGTCCCTACGCTGAACTTCCCTCTCTCAGACCTTGAAATTATGCAACTGCAAGACAACATTGATCCATTGGAAGAATCTGAATGGACATATATCTCAATACTGTCCAATACATTGAGAATTTAATTGAGCACCGATAGTTGTTACATTTAACAACTATAGTATGATTTGTGTCATGATTTCAGTTATTTGGCAATGATGGAAAGTTAATCATTTTATATTTACATAGCTTATGCTTGATTAAGTTAATCTCAATTGCATGATTAGACATTTTTCTTTTGACTTATAAATTAATGGAAGTGTTTTTAGAGATGCATTTTCAGTCAGGATCAAAAACCGTTTCAGAGCAACAGAATTACATTCATTTTACACTCTGTACAAAATAAAAACATTGTAAAAGAACTATTCGGAGTGTAATGCTTTACTGTTCTAGGAATTGGGCATTGTTACGGCCCGTCCACACAGCGGTGTGCGTTGAAGCTTCCAACGCTTCTGCCCATTCACTTTGAATGGGGTGACGTCACTTTTAGCCGAACTGCATTTTGGAAAGCGACGTGGAGCGTTGCTCGCTTCAAAAGTTGAGCAATGTTCAACTTTTGGCGACTCGGCAGAAGCGTCAGCCAATGAAATCCCATTTATGAAAATCTGCCATTACAAGCGCTAGCCAATCAAACCGTGTGTATGCTGGGAGAGACTACGCAGGTCATTTCCTCATATTCCAAAAAATGGAGGGAAAATTCATTATTTTATATCCAGTTTACTTCGTTTTAACATTGCTATTGCTTTGTATGTCGGGGGCGGGAGATTCATGTGATTGGTTGTTGGTCGCAAAAAATCCCTAAGCTTCAGACACGCCCAACTCCAAGCGTCAACACACGCTGCTGTGTGGACGCTCCGTTAAAGTGTAACAATGATAATGGACAAACAGTCTTTTTCCAAATGTCCTTTATTTATAAAACACGGTAGGTGTACCAACTGTAACCCTGTATCTCACACAGTGTATTGAATAGAGAGGCAAACCCTTCTCCAGAAAAATACAAAACAAACTGAGAGTCAGTGTGTAGCTACACAAGCCCAAAGCCTGAACTGATGGAACTGAGGGCCATCATCAAGTCCTGGTGGAACTTCTCATATGTTTGGTAGTGGCTTGGGAGCTTCAATTTTAGGAAGCAGGTGAGAGCCACTGGGTATTTTGAAGTAACAACCTCAACTTCAAGGTTTGTTGTGAGCAGCTCCCACCCGACCCAGAACTTCAAGAGGTCACGCAGCACCTTCGGAGATGCTATGGGAGAGAATTTGTTATGTATGCGATACCTCAAATTGCATTATATCAAAACTTAAATTTGAGCAGTAAAACTTGCAGGAATATCAACGGTTAACCCATGTATAGATTTGTATTTGTACACCGATGTGTGTATATTATTTTTCATCAGAACTGCCATCTCTTCAGCTGCACTACAGCTTTAGCAGTCATTAATTAGTGTTACCTTCCTCTATGAATTGCCTCAAAAATCCAGTGACGAGACCGACTTTCTCCAATGGAACGGTGTCGTCCTCGTCCTCATCGCTGTCACTTTTGGGCTGTGGCCAGTGGATGTTCTGGATCACAGTCTATAGGGGATCAAATACAAACGTGTTCTTTGCTAAGATTGAAGCTCATGTTATATGCTACAGAATTATCTTAACATTGTAAAGCATTGATTTAAGATCTACACACCAGTTTAAGAGCCCCACAAATGAAATTGCATGATAGTGTTTGCAAACAAATCCCATGAATAACATAAATCCAATAAAGAAAATGGTACTTACCTGTGAGTTCAGCTCATCATTTTTCTCTCTTGGAAATAATATGGGGTGGACATCTGGCCTATTTGAAACAAGCGGCCAGATTCCCGTTTCTTTAAGGCCTTTGCGAATCTGCTTGATAGGCTGCCTAACACGGTGAAGTACCTACAAGTAAAAGGAACAATCAAACTGAGGCACTAATGGAAAAACACCACAGTAGCAGATACAGGAGGACTTACAAAGCAAACCTACTAATTACCTAAACATTGTATTGTATTGTTTAAATAAAAATGGTACAATATAAAATGATTACTGCATGGGAAAGAAGTTCCTGGAACAGCCAGTCATGATTGGTGGAGGTTGGAACAGGGAGGTCCCAGGACAGGCAAAGATCAGTCACACTGGTGGTTTCTTGAGCAGTAAGTTGTGTATTCTTGAGCTAAAACAGGAGAAAAGAGGACATCTTTTAAATGCATGCAAAAGTGGACAAAAAGCCTAAATCTGGAAAAATCAAAATGGGACACAAAAAAGCATTGGAAATCATTTCTAGCTAAACAGCCCAGCCTTGACGCATGAATGGAATCTTTTTCATAATGCACAAGATGACAAGTGTATGTTAGCATTGTGGTGCAGTGGTGTATGACATGTCACTTTTTAACTAGGACACTCACAAAACCAATTGTTTCACGGTGGTCAAGATCAGGACAATCCAGCAGGGTAAGCGCTGATGCTGCAGTATCCGTGCTCCCACCAGTCAACAGAGTCACTACAGGCACACTTAGTCCTGAGAAACCAAAACCACCATGCAGGAAGGAATGGCCTATCATCCGACCTGCCATCTCAAACAGGTTGCTTTCCCGAAGCACAGCAGCTGCGGAGGGAACCCGATGTTCCATTTCGCCTTCAAAAAGGCTTGTAAGAGCTGCACAGCCTTAAGAAAGAAGGAGAAATAGTTTAGACACCATGTATTGCTATAACGTAATTTTTAGGTCAAGCTATATTGAGTGTTGGTTCAACTGTGAATATGCATGTTGTAATCTTTGTTGGTTTATTAAGATTTAGCTGCAAGTGGTTATTTCAATTGAAAGACAAATGGGGACATCCCACCTAAATTTATACTGAAGCCGGTCTTCAGTTTCTGCATGGCCATTGACAAAACGTGTCGGTTGACACCTTGGCCGACTGCTGCATCCCCTTGAAAAGACGACCTCATTTAGAAAAGTACAACCAACAAGATGATATTCAACATACACTTACCAAGAGACAACATGAATCATCCTTCAAGCTTTCAATACAATAAATGTAACTAGTTCTTTCTTCCCTGGTCTAAGGGACATGAACTTAATCCTCAACATGCAAGTAAAAACAAACAAAAAGGCAAAATTCGACCCAGATGACAACCTATAATGAAACATGAGAAGTTACACTATTTATTAATACCTCTCAGCCTGCACTTCAATGGAGCTGCCCAGTTAACATTGTTCATTTTAAAGAATGAAATCAATGAACTGTCTGTTTCTTCTTCTGCGTCAAACAAGTCGATTGACAGAAAGAGGCGTGGACATTCATAGTTACGTTCCAGCAGTTCCTCTCTGAACAACTGACATGCCTTCCGGGGGTCCACTTCATTGGCCCAAGCTGAAATGTAATTTGAAGGGAAAAAAAGCAGTTGGTACAATAAACTTCATAATATGTCAGCTTCAATTGTAAAATAGTACTTCATTTATTGTCTCATTTAGTAAGCCCTGTATTTTAAAGCAATATATTAAAAGGTAGTAACTTGGAATCAATTATCCTTTCCATATTACTGGATCAAACATGTAACAACATTCATTTTGGTGATCATTGCTATTTAAGTGTTTGTGAGTAGTCACTGTTTCAAACTACACCACAGCAGTAATTGTTCTGAATAAATAACCTGCTGAAACTGTTGCTGGCAATCGTTGAACTGAAGGTCCTGGCATTTCCTCTGTCCTTGTCATACTGGCTGCATCGCTATGATGAGCAGGGTCCATTCTTGGAAAAGACAAAACAAAAAACATACTCACAGGAATGGAAAATAGAGACTAGTGAGCGCCCTTCTTTTTTTACATATTTCTTCTTGCATATCAAACAAAGTAATTTAAATCAGATCCCTAATAAGTATTTCGGCTGTTAAGATTTCTACATTTCCTAAAAATGCATTACATGCTCTGATGCAGCTGCTATAGCTGTAACATTACAGCATTTTAAAACACAAAAAAGGAACAAGCACATTCACCAAACGATATCGTTATTAGGTTTGACACTTTGTATATGTTGTTCACCTCTCTCAAAACATGTCTATCTTCCATCTTTTGCTTGAACAAGTCAAAACGTCTTACCCTTCACCACATGTGCTTGCATGAAATGAGAGGACATCAATTGGGTAAGATTCAAGACATATAGGGCAAACCTGTAAAAAACATAAACAAATGTCAATACCTTTAAAACATATCACATTATTATAAGAGGTTTTATGTTTAATAATTCTCTCTCAGATAAGTGATACAGGAAACATAATTCTATGATAAAAAAATGAGTACATAGACAGTGTGCAAAAAGTCTGTTTGGTGAAATGTGTTATACCCTACCTATATACACACCTGCAATCATGCTGTCATTATTTACTGAAAACAATAAGGCTTTTATACTAAATTGCAAAGTAACTTTAACAGGATCAGCATCAACTACCTCTGACAATTCTCCCATCCCTGTGTTAGGTGGATTTGGCTGCTCAATCACTTCATCAAGAGAAGTCCCAGATTCACTCTCCTAAAAAACAAAAAAGGTACAGAGAATTGGTTCTATAGACTTTGAAACAGTCATTTGAGCAAACTAAAACATTACATATTTATTTGAGAAATGAGAGAAACGTTTTAATAACAGCTTACAGTCAATATGTCATTACATTCCTCCACATGTAAAGGCAACAGCTGCAAAGGCATTTGACTGCCACATGTTATGCAGGTTGACTGTGGCATCTTTGCAAACTCTGCCGAGTCATAGGGTAGTGGTTCGGTAGAAAGTTGCTCCTGTAGTGGAATTACAAACACAATGTTTTTTCCGTTGTTGGACGCTGTTTTGAGGAGCCTTGTGGAGTACCCCTCGGAGTCAGTAGGAATTATGGACAGCTTTCGACGTCCACTACCACCTATTTGAAAATCAAAATATGAACAACACAAGTGTGCTTTAAAACCACCTGACAGTACATACATTAATATTAGGGATATACGTTACACTTTGTCAGGCAAACTTTAGTACTGTTTTATACAACTTGAAGAAGTGATATGAATGGTGATTCAAAGTAGGGCAACAGAAAACACATATGTGGGGCTTCTGAGTGTGAAAAACACAACACAGCATTTTCACCAATGGAGATGAGAACAATATTACCTGCTGACTTGAAAAACATCCAGCCTCCTTTTAATGTTTTCAGTTTTGGAAATTCTTCCTCAACCGAAGCCATAGTCTTTAAAACAAAGTGAAATAACATACAATATTCAGCAAGTGATTCACATTTTAAATCATTGAGAAATCTTTAATACTGTCTGTTTATATGATTACCTCACTGTGCAATAAGTTGTCCGGTAGATTTAGCATCCTCTTTCCAAGGCCAGCATAGGCAAGTGGTAGCTCTTCCGAGCCCTTAGGTGTAAACTGACAGGGTCCCGAAAGGACATATATGTGAAAGTCCGTCCGTTTGACGATGCAAGGAGCCGGGGTGGGAAATCGTCTTTTGCCTCTTGGCTGATCAGTACTGAACATACTTGGGAATTGCCTGATGTGGGAATGACAAAAGGATCTGTGAGACTAGACATTGTTATATCATTTGCAAATCATTGGCTTGCGTTGATGGTTTTGTTAACATAGGTTGAACAAATTGTATGAATAAAAAGCGAAATCATAGTTAATATTCTGTCGATACAAAAACAATCTTGACACTTAACTTTATCTTACCAAAATATTTGTTTTGAAAACATTAATATATTGTGTTTGGGACGTTTCAAGGCAAGGGGTTGTTAAAGGTTTTAAAAGCAGTAATGGAGGATACATACTATGGACAAATGTTTTAAAACATTAACTCAACATTACATTAGAGTAATGCGAGGGGTGAGATCAAATATCAGATGTTTACACATCTACGGGATTAAGCAACAGTTTGATCTTGAACTGTCAAATGTAAAAAAAAGTCTATTACATCACCTTCTCATCGCCTGCCTCACCCTGACATCATTGTGGGATTGGACGCTGTCTACCGCCCTGACTGCTACGCTGACCGGTGCACTCTCTGCTATGCTCACTTCTGGTGGAGTTGGAGTCGCAGACAACTCCCTGGCTATTAATTGAACTAAAGCCCGTGCTGCTACCTCGACCCGAGGCGTTACACCCTGTCGAACAGTCAATTAATTTTCTCTCACATTCACTTCACTGCAACATTTTACTTGGTAGCAGAAGCACATAATAAGAATGGGGGATCGTTAGACCGTTAGACAGACAACGCTAGTTAATGTTAGCTTATGGAGCTCAGCTACTACAACACAGCTAACCAAAACAGTTCTATATAATTCTCGAATTAAACAACTAACAACTAAGCAAAACCAATCCTTCATAATTTAGGAGTATTTCATAATTTAAACATAATTTACACTTGGAGCGGGAGGCGCGCGACCACCAGACGCCATTTTAAAGATGACCTCTGACCTATCAGCTCCGGAGTCCGGACTGCGCAAAATGCGTAAATGAAGTGCTACGTCACGAACGCAAGAAATCCTACCCACGTGGGGGCGCGCTCATGTGATTGGCTTAGACTGGAGGAGACATCTGATTGGCTATAGATGAGAGAAATTACAAGTACGAATCGGGTGACCGTCAGGGGAGTCTCAAAAAACCCACACACGAATGCAAAGCGATCCGTGCACAGAAAGCTGTTTGTGTTTGAAGGTGCAGCGGTTGTAAACGGAAAACTAATATGTGTGGATCAAAAATACACATGTAAAACTTTTTTCTGTGTTTGGATTTTATTTACATGTATATGAAACGGAACACATTTGTGTATGCATTGAAAAACACAAGTGTGGATCCGGAAATACAAGTTTGAATCCTTTTGCGGATCATGAAATACAAGTGTGAATCCTTCTGTGTGCATGTGTGTATTATGAGACTGTTCTGAGCCCATAGAGATATAGCTAAAATACTTCCACATTTTGCTTCTGGCGTCTTTTTTGTCAACAAGCCGAGGGGCAGCGGCAGTTGCACTCCCACTTGCAGCCATGCTTCTCGTTTTCTCACATGCTCTGGCAGCTAGCGCGTGCACGAGAGCGGGGAGGCACTTGAGCGTGCTTGAGAGGGGCGGGACTGTAGGCACGGCTGCAGTGCAGGGAGTGGAAGCAGAGCGCTGAACACACACAGCTCTTATTTAAACGGCGCTTTCTCACCGGAGTACTTTCCGCATTCATTCTTAAACGGAGGAATCGTAACGTTTTTAACGGCAGGGTATCGCGGTATACCTTTCAAGTATCGGTACACCGTGCACCACTAGTCAGGAGTCAGTGTCTCTCCCCCAAACTCACACATATAAAATTCAATATGAACTGAAGAGCCGCATGAAACTAGGCAAAGAGCCGCATGCGGCTCGAGAGCCGCAGGTTGGCCACCCCTGTACTAGGGCATTGCGTTCCAAGAATGCAGGGTTGTTGGTTGTTCCTAGAGTCTCTAAAAGTACAATGGGAGCCAGAGCCTTTTCTTATCAAGCTCCACATTTGTGGAATCAGCTTCCAGTTTGTGTTCGGGCGGCAGACACCCTATCCGTTTTTAAGAGTGTGCTTAAGACCTTCCTTTTTGATAAAGCTTATAGTTAGGGCTGATTAGATTCAGCCCCTAGTTTTGCTGATATAGGCTTAGTTTGTCGGGGGACATCTTACTTCTTCCTTCTCTCTGTCTATACCTGTGTACTCTCATGTTCCGATTAACCCAGCTTCCCCAAATGTCTTTCTTTTTGGTGTTTATATACGCTGGGATCCGGAGTCATGGATGATCCTGCGGTCCTGTGTCCTGCATCGCGAGCCCTGGATCTTGAGTCGTGGCTGTGGTCCTGGATGGATATCCTCGTGGATTCATCTTCCTATTATACACACATGCATTTCCAAACATTTGGACTACCTATGTTGCAAATGTATTATCGTTTCAATTTACACACGGCATCTATTGCACGTCTGTCCGTTCTGGGAGAGGGATCCCTCCTCTGTTGCTCTCCCTGAGGTTTCTCCCATGTTCCCTTTAAACTGTGGGTTTTCTCCGGAAGTTTTTCCTTGTACGATGTGAGGGTCTAAGGACAGAGGGTGTCGTATTGTCATACTGATATTTTGTACAAACTGTGAAGTCCACTGAGACAAATGTAACATTTGTGATATTGGGCTATATAAATAAACATTGATTGATTGATTGATTAGCAACACAACCTTACCTGCATTGCAATGACTCTAAACCTGTAATAACGTGCTTTAACCATTAGGTGAATAATACAGACGTATAAAGTACACATGGTATACAATGCTATCAAAAACACATTATGTTAATTTACATATCTAACTATCATTATCAAGCACAATATGAACTATATGAGGCTTATGCATTGTACCAGGTTTAGGCTCATTTGGTAGGCTAAGTCAAAAACAGGCAACTGATGGTGTGTGAAAGGTAATTTATGAGGATGAAACAAATGAGGTACACAGAATACAATGCCATTTTATCAGTTTTATTATTAGTGTAGGACAGATATGTATATATAACACCTGAAGATGTTTTATTCATGTTATCACATAATTGTACATGATATAGCTATATTATTGCACATATTTGAGTTCTACACATATGAATATCTGATTTGTAAAACATCACACAAAAAGGTTTATCCACCCCCTCATGGTGCTAATCAATATGTGTGTTTGCTAAACAGAGATACAAACAGAACATAAGTGAACAGTCAAAACAATTTGTATCAACTTTATTGTTATGGCACATTGTTTACATAGTGTTTCAGAGTAGACATGTAATAACATCTGAATAAAATGAAATGATAGAAAATGCCTTCAACAACATATCAACAACCTGAAGAATAACTTACTGGACATACATATTAAGACATTAAGAAATGTGTCTTTTTTGTCGGAGGGCTGCAGCTGACGATAGGGGGTGTAGGGCTGAAGGAGGTCAGCGATGTATGCAGGGACGAGGGAGTGGAGAGATTTGTAGGCTAGCAGGAGGAGTCTGTACTGGATGCGTGACTTGACCGGGAGCCAGTGAAGGTGGAGGAGGGTGGGGGTGATGTGTTGCCAGGGTTTCGTGCGGGTGAGGAGCCTGACTGCAGAGTTCTGGACGTACTGGGCTGTCCAGGGCTTTGCTGGTGACCCCGAACAGAACTCCATTGCAGTAGTCCAGGCGTGAGGAGATGAAGGTATGTATTAATGTTTCTGCGACAGGGTCGGGGAGAGAGGGCCGGGGTCTGGAGATGTTTCGAAGGTGAAAAAAAGCAGTTTTGACAGTAGACCTGATGTGGGAGTTGAAGGTGAGGCTAGAGTTCAGAGTGACGCCCAGACGAACCTCAGGGGGAAGGGTGGATGGAGCAGCCATCGACGGTGAGGAACAGATCTCCAATCTTCCGGAGCAGTGTTTTTGGGGCCACAACCATGAGCTCTGTTTTGTTATTGTTGAGTTTCAGTAGGTTTGTTGAGATCCAGGTGTGGATGTCGCGGAGGCAGTTGACTAGTGACAGTGGAGGTAGCTGGGATGATGGATTGGCACTGATGTAGAGTTGAGTGTCGTCGGCATAGGAGTGGAAGTTGAGACCATGTTGGCGGAGTATTTCACAGCATGTAGATGATAAATAGAAGGTAGTCTGGAGGGGGCTTCACCGTGTGTCATCAGAGCTGTCAGAGTCGCAGTCAGAAGACTCATCTGAAAGACTTTGCAAGAAGCTGATGGTCTCTGCTCCAGTCAAAACGTGCAGGTAGCATCGTCTCGCATGAGTCTTAATTTCTCCGATGTCGTGCTGCTTTTTCCTAAACATGATCTGGAGACCTTTCATTCCGTCTTCGCTCAGGCCCAATGGTGAATCTTAAATGTATAAGATAAAGACAATATCAGTTACTTCATCACCTATCACTAATGTGTAAAGTCATGCGAAGTAAAAATGTAATATATACTGTACTTTGCAGGCAGGACAGCTCTTTCAGTGAATCACTGCGGGTTTTGTTTGTTTGTAGCCTTTATTTAACTAGGTGAAAGCCCCTTGAGATCAAAAGATCTCTTTTTCTAGGGTGACCTGCAGGACATTAGTTACACATGTAACATAAAAACAACAGAACAACAATAAGGATGACAAACAACATAATGTACAGGGTACAGTTTACAAACTCTATTTACAGAGACAGGTACCATGAGTATCAAACAGCATGTCACCCAGCTGAGTTTTAAAATGATGCAGGGGAACCAAAGTGCTCAGTTTTAAACATGTTTGCAGACTGTTCCAAGTTAGTGGAGCTGCACAACTAAAAGCTTTCTTCCCTAAGACAGTCCTAGCACTTGGCACATTTAATAAAACAACATCATGAGATCTCAGGCAATAAGTACTTTCAATTCGTGGAGAGATCAGAGAGCAGATATAAAAAGGTAGTTTACCCAACATGGCTTTGTAAATGAACATGTACCAATGACTGAGCCTCCGTACAGTTAGTGAAGGCAGACCTGCCTTGGCATACAGGGTACAGTGATGAATAAGTGCTTTACAGTTAGTAACAAATCTCAGGGCACTGTGATAGGCGGCATCGAACTTTTCCAGGCAATGGGCAGATGCATTCATATAGATCAAATCACCATAGTCCAGCACAGGTAAAAAGGTCACAGTGACTAGCCTTTTCCTGGCCTCAAGCGAGAAACAGGACTTGTTTCTGAAAAAGAAACCTAGTCTAACCCTCAGCTTTTTAAGCAGGTTATTGACATGAAGTTTAAAAGTAAGACAATCATCAAGCCAGATACCTAGGTATTTATAACTGGTAACCACTTCAAATACTTGTCCTTGCATAGTAACAATATCCAAAACAGGCTCTGGTGTCTTTTTAGCTTTTGAAAATAGCATTACCTTGGTTTTATCAACATTTAAAATAAGCTTAAGTTCAGCAAGCTGAGTCTGAATAATGTTAAAAACAGCCTGTAATTTAACACCAGCCTCCTTAATGGAGGGACCTGCACAATACATCACGGTATCATCAGCATAAAAATGTAAAGTAGCTTCATCCACATTTTCACCTAAACTGTTGATATATATGGAGAATAAAAGTGGACCTAAAACAGAACCTTGAGGAACACCATTAGCAATGTTTAACCACTCAGAAGACAGCCCATCAAAGTGAACACATTGGGACCTTTCAGAGAGGTAGTTCACAAACCAACCCACTGCATGGCTGGATATGCCGATACTGAGTAGCCTCTGCTTTAAGATGTGATGATCGACGGTATCAAACGCTTTGGAAAGGTCAATAAATAGAGCTGCACAACTCTGCTTATTGTCTAAAATACTCGTAATGTCATTCACCACTTTCATTGTGGCAGTGATGATGTTGTTTTCTGAAGCCTGACTGATGTTTGGACAGGATATCATTTTTACATAAAAACTCCTTTACCTGTTCACTCACTAGGCGTTCGAGCACCTTCGCCAGAACTGACAATTTAGAGATTGGCCTATAGTTATTTAAAATAGTTGCCTCCCCTCC